TCACCATGTTGACCAGGATGGTCTCGATCTCTTGACCTCGTGATCCACCCACCTCGGCCTCCCAAAGTGCTGGGATTACAGGCGTGAGCCACCGCGCCCGGCCCTCTCTAAAAAATTTTAAAAAATTAGCTGGGTATGGTGGTGCACATCTGTGGTCCTAGCTACTTGGGAAGATGTGATAGGAGGATCACTTGAGCGTGAAAGGCTGAGGCTGCAGTGAGCTGTGGTCATACTACTGCACTCTAGCCTGGGCAACAGAGTGAGATTCTGTCAAAAAAAAAAAAAAATTTTAATTCTTCTTTTTTTTTTTTTGAGACAAAGTCTTGCTCTTGTCCCCCAGGCTGCAGTGCAATGGTGTAATCTCAGCTCACTGCAACCTCTGCCTCCCGGGTTCAAGCCATTCTTCTGCCTCAGCCTCCTGAAGAGCTGGAATTATAGGCGCCTACCACCACGCCAGCTAATTTCTGTATTTTTAGTAGAGACGGGGTTTTACCATGTTGGCCAGGCTGGTCTCGAACTCCTGACCTCAGGTGATCTGCCCGCCTTTGTCTCCCAAAGTACTGGGATTAAAGGTGTGAACCACCGCACTCAGCCAAGAAATCTTACAGAAGGTTGGGTGCGCAGGGTGGCTTACGCCTGTAATCCCAGCACTTGGTGAGGCTGAGGCAGGTGAATCACCTAAGGTCAGGAGTTTGAGACCAGCCTGGCCAACATGGTGAAACCCTGTCTCTACTAAAAATACAAAACTTAGCTGGGTGTGGTGCCAGGCACCTGTAATCCCCGCTACTCAGGAGGCTGAGGCGAGAGAATCCCTCGAACCCAGGAAGTGGAGGTTACAGTGAGCCAAGATTGCGCCATTGCACTCCAGCCTGGGCAACAAGAGTGAAAACTCTATTTCAAAAAAGAAATGAAATCTTATAGAAAAAGCCAAAGGGCTGTCCTGCCTTTGACAATGATGGAAAATACTATAATACATTAATCAATGTAATAGCCACTATCGTCTTTATCATCTTTAAAATAATGTTAACTTTTCTTCAAAAACTACATTACACATTGAGTGAATTCCAGACTTCTGGCAACATTTGAGCCAATGATCCTAAGGAAAGGATACAATAAAACTGCTGAATAAAATAGAAGTGATGCTAAAAAACTCCAAAGAGCATCCAGGCATTTCTCTTACCATGCAGATTACAGAGATAGTCCCGCATTTTCATGACCATCTGGGACCTCAGTCGCAGGTTATACTGCATTTGGAAACTACGCAAGTCTAAGTAGCGATACTGCAACCGAAGAGCCTCTGTTTTCTAAAGAAAGTGAAAGATTTTTATATTTAAATATTTTTGAATATTAGAAAGGTATTATCTTTAGAAACAGAGTTTGAATATTCAAAAACTTTAGCTCTGCCTTTAGTTTCCATCATTAAGTAGCTCACTGTATGCCCTTTCCATTTGTGTATATAATAACATCCTTAATTCCTACAACTTCTAAGTTTGTCATTAGTGCAGATTTACATTTTTTACTATTCATTATTATTAACATTACTCTTCACTGACTGAAATTTACCTACTTTACCAAACACGTATCCATTAATTTAAATCCATGGTTGAGTCTTGAAAAAAAATTTAAAGATTTTGAAGATCTCTCAAAAAAAAAAAACCACAGCACCACATGCTGTATCTGGGCATAGTGGCATGTGCCTATAATTCCAGCTACTTGGGATGCTGAGGTGGGAGGATCACTTGAGCCCAGGAGTGTGAGGCCAGCCTGGGCAACATAGCAAGATCCCATCTCCTAAAAAAAAAAAAAAAAAAAAAAGATACACCAGAGTAGAAGATTCACCTGAATGGGATGCTGACTACAAGTGTAAAGAATGCAAGGGGACAGTGGTTAGAATCTCCATGGCTGTACTAGTAGAAACAGTTTGCTTATTTTAAGGCTGTAAATCTCTGCAACCCTCTTTGAGCTGAAAACTTAAGAAATGTCTATAACTTCTCTTTTTGAATGATTATCTGGGGAAAACTGTGTATTTTCTTTTTTACAATAGGTCAACTGTATAATTACATTGCTCTTTCTAATTAGAGAATTAAGTATTGGGAACTTAAATGTAAGACTAACTGGCCATGAAGTGAATTTAAAAATCCCTTAATAGGTCAGTTTAAAAATTAGGAATATATAAGTCTATAAACTGCGACAAGGCTGAAAATCATATGAGTGTATAGCTCCAACAACCCCTTAAACTTTGGAAAGAACATCCTAAATTATAGCAATCCTATTTATATTTATATGCTTGGGAAGTCAAGAGTTGCTCTAAGCATACATTTTATCACCTAATAGGTATAGGATCCCTATGCCATTTGGCCATTTCTAAGCTAGACATAAATTTCCTTTCAAATGTTAAACAATGGCAACAAAAAATCTTAAGTAATGTAACACCTCAAGTCTTAAAGAGAGAATCACATTTTAATCTGTCTGAAAAAACAGTCTAGGTATTTAGGGACTGCAACAGTTTAATGAACTGGCACTATTTCCCAACAGTTTGTCAAGAAATCGTAGAACTAAGAGAATGATTTATAGTATGTCTACAATAAAATGTTTAATTTTGTAGAAGTTAAACTTTTCTTTAAAAAAACTCGGAAAATACTTGACTAGTCATCAACATTTTCTAGATACTCTATTAATAACAGAGCATGGTACCTTCATGAAGTCCTTAATTTCAAAGGGCAGCTTCTTGCAGGCATTCAGAAGCTCAGCTGTTTTAACTTTGATTTCAATCTCACCTGTTGGCATTTTCTTAGAGAGTGAGAGAGAAGTGTTTTAAAAATTACTCATCAAGACGCATGCAAAACACATTTGTAGAACATATGCATTTATTTACATATGTAATATGTGCAAAGTCCTTATAGTGCATAAAGTATAAAACATACATGTCTGTGCACGATTTTGACATTCTTATGCATATCTGTGGCTGGTGGGCTCAGGTATCACCAAATGTCAGGACACATCCTTGTAGTTCGATACTTGGGAAACTGAGACAAGAGAAACGCTTAAGCCCAGAAGTTCAAGACCAGCCTGGGCAATACAGCAAGACGCCTGTCTCAAAAAAAAAAAAAAAAAAAAAAACAAGTCTTAGCATGCATATTTATATAGACGTGTATGTTTGTAGTAAAGATTTTGAAATCTGTAGGTTCATTTGTAGATTTAAACTTTAGTGCCTAATGTCCAATAGGTGCTCAGTCTGTGCTGCCTGAATGTGTACACAGACAGTGAAAATGCATACAAGCAAAATTTACATAGATATTTTCTAAACTACTTACTGGATTCTCTTGTCCTGCAGGACGGGAAATGACTGTACCAGACACTTGCACCACAGATTCCATAGGGGCTTCACATAAAATCTTCCTCACAGAGGCTGCCGACTGCACAACAAGGGGTGAAAAGAGTTCCAAGAGACATATGAACTTACAGGAATGTTAGTAATTGTAAGTCTATGGTTTAAAAAAAATTAATAGTCATAGCTTAATTACCATAAAGACTGGGGCTGCCCCTTAATGACTTTATTACTGAATTTAGTAAAAACTGCATCCCCATTTTGACTCTATATAATGCAGCAAGTAAAACTATTAGTTAAGAACTTTAAAAAAAAAACTTTACAGCCAGGCACGGTGGCTCACGCTTGTAATCTCAGCACTTTGGGGGGCCGAGGCAGGTGGATCACCTGAGGTCACGAGTTCGAGCCCAGCCTGACCAACACAGAGAAACCCTGTCTCTCCTAAAAATACAAAAAATTAGCCGGGTGTGGTGGTGCATTTGCATAATCCCAGCTACTTGGGGGGCTGAGGCAGGAGAATCATTTGAACCTGGAAGGCGGAGGTTGCGGTGAGCCGAGATCGCACTATTGCACCCCAGCCTGGGCAACAAGAGCTAAACTCCATCTCAAAAAAAAAAAAAAAAAAAAAACTTTTCTTAAAGGAAAATAAGGAGAAGAATGACCATTATTAATGCAAACAAGTCCCACATACTTGAAAAGTAATTGTCTCCAGGATTAGTCTTAGGGGCAGTTAAATCCAATAGCAATAATGGGTCAAAGTCAAAGGAGTTCTTCAGCTATACTCATCTCTGGATGCTGATCCCTAAAACATAATTCATTGCTCTTTACTCGTTTCAAAACTTAAGAGCTGAATAAATAATATTTTTCTTAGGCATGCAAGCATTAAGTAAAAATTACAATAGAACCCAACTTTGCCCAATAAGTTTGATAGAAGTTCTTTTTTTATCTAATTCTTTAATTTCTTTTTTTTTTTTTTTGAGACAGGGTATCACTCTGGTTGCCCAGGCTGGAGTGCAGTGGTCTGATTTTGGCTCACTTCAGTCTCTACCTCCTGGGCTCAGGTAATTCTCCCAACTCAGCCACCCAAGTAGCTGGGACTACAGGTGCACGCCACCACGTCCAACTAATTTTTTGTATTTTTAGCAGAAATGAGGTTTCACTATGTTGCCCAGGCAGGTCTTGAACTCCTGCATGAAAGCAATCTGCTGGCCTTGGCCTCCCAGATTGCTGGGATTACAGGTGTGAGCCACCATGCCTGACCTTGAATTTTTTAATAAAAAAAAAATTTTCTTCAGAATATCACTCTGTCATATTTTATCTAATTTTGATGGTAATTAAATTAAATACTTTTCTGAGCAGGTAGTACCTTCACATGGCTTCAAATTCAAAGGGTGCAAAAAGACATAGTGAAAAGTTTCCCTCTTATCCTTGTCTTCAAGGCCCTCAGTTCCTTCCCCAGGAAGCACTCAATGTTACCAGATACTGAGGTATCCTTCCAGAGACATTTCATAACATATATACAAGCAAATACACACACACAGAGACACACACATTTTGAATATATATTCTGCTTCCTTCCCCTATTTGTTATATAAATGACAGCACTTAGAGTGCTGGAGTTTAACAGCTGCTCTTCTGTGTACTCAAGAATAGAGGGTTCTTCACTTAACAGTATTCCTTGGATTCTTTTCTCCCTATTAGAATAGAACTTCTTCATTTTTTTTGGTATGGCTGAGAAGAGTATCCTATTGTAAGAATATACATTATTTTTTAAGTCAGTCTTTTATTGGAGGACATCTAGGTTGTTCCCAAATTTTTTCTATTAAAAAGAATCCTGAAGTGAATATCCTTGTACATATGTCGCTTTGCATCTGTATAAGTCTAGGTATAAGATAATTTACTGGCTGGGTGCAGTGGCTTATGCCTGTAATCCCAGGAGGCTAAGGCAGGTGAATCATGAGGTCAAGAGATCATGACCATCCTGGCCAACATGAAGAAACTCCATCTCTACTAAAAATACAAAAATTAGCTGGGCGTGGTGGCACGTGCCTATAGTCCCAGCTACTTGGGGGGCTGAGGCAGAGGTTGCAGTGAGCAGAGATCGTGCCTCTGCACTCCAGCCTGGCAACAGAGTGAGCCTCCGTCTCAAAAAAAAAAAAAAAAAAAAAAAAAAAAAAAA